GCCCTGCTTTCATTTAGATCATTTAAGATTAGGCCACATGCAGGGCAGGCTTGGATTCTGTAATAAGTAGGATTTATTTTCATCTTCTTTCACAACAAAAATTGAAGCTAAATAGCTGAAGTAAGAGTTGGCATTTTTTCCTCTCTCCTCTGACTAGCAGTTCTTAAGTGATTTGGTCACTGTTTCTCTRACAAAAAGCAACTGTGCTGCTGAAAGAAGGGAATTCTGCTTGCTCCACGTAGGGATCTCAGGCCAGAAGCAGCCAAGACAGAGGGGCGCCTGGGAGAGAGGAGTGGCTGGGAGGGCACACAAATAGAGCACACATGAAACCCAAGCAGGTACAAGCATTAGCTCAAGAGCTGGCAGTGCTATAAAGATGCTTTTCAGATAGGCATTTTATACCCTGGCACATCTTACTCTGTAATGAGCCAGGGCTCTTCATCTCAGTAACAGGAACTTGGCTCATCCCAGTCATCCACAGAACCAGGCAAGGGCAAAAGCAAGCAGTGAAGATAAAYCCCATATTTGTAGCTGCTGCTGACTCTGCTGGAGGATCCAATGCTGGCATCTGCAGGCCATAACTCATGGAAAAAGTTACACTTTTCAGCTCTGCCATCTGATATTAACGTGTGTGTAACTCATTTCCTATTCCATCTGCACTTGGGAAGGCTCTGCGTGGTGGCAGGGAGCTGYTCCTCTCCCAAAGGGACACTGCCCTGAGTCATGGGATGGTGGCCACCAGCAGGCCCAGTCAGAGCACAGGGCACAGCACTGGGAACCATGAGCTGTGTCACTCCAGCTGATTTTACCCTTGTGACTGACCTGCAGAAGCTGCAGGAGCTGCATTTGTCCCCTTTTGTTGTCCTTGATACGGGAGAGCTGTTGGCAGATCACTGAGGGCAATCTCCTTCAGTGACAGGGCCCATCTGCCAGTCTCCTACACTCTCTTGGAAGTGTTGGGATTTCCCTTCCAACTCMGTGTATTCTRTGGTTCTGTGATTCTCTGAATTTGGCTGGTGGCAGCTCACAGCACTGATAATGGCAGGTTCTTCTGCCCTCTTGCCRGCACAAAGTGTTTTGTGACATCACACAATATTTGCTCTGCAAAAATAATCTTTGCAATCTTTTTCAAGTCCTAAAAGGCACTTGCTGCGTTACTTGGTGATGTGCTTGATTATCTCCTGCATGAAACTAATGCTTATTATTTATTTTATATTAAAACTGATTTATTTTAATGAAATGAGACCAAGGCCCCAGTATGAGCCATTCTTYAGTAGTCACACCATATTAAAACAATTGCTCAAAAACATGCTCTACCTTCTCCCCCAAGCAGAAAGGGATTTGTATCAAGATAAGAGGGATCATTCAATCATCAATATATTGATTGCCAGAAACTGCTTTACATGTTACAACTGAACTTTAAATTAGCAACTCATTTTAATAATATGTCCTTCCTAAATTTCCAGAATAAAGGAAGCAAATACATTTATTACACAATCTTACATCTTTGTCCTGACAGAGAACTAGATCCATTCTAGCTAGCAGTTTTACTGCCTTTGTTTTCTCTTGTATTAATGTACACTTAAAGAGAATTCCTATGCTTCAGATGAGGTTAATCTATTTTCAGCTACAAGTATGCAAGGCCATATTTGGAGTCACAAAGAATAAACAGATCTCCAACTTAGATTTTATAACATGAGTTTAACTTACTGCCATGCTATTTAATCTTAGTTGAACCATGGTGCAAGACAGTTATTAGAGAAAAACTGGGTGGTGTTACATTTCTCTTTAAGGMATTAATATAAGGTTTCATAGTTTGCTTATTTTCTTTTTTTTTTTAAATAATTATCCTGCTAGTCCTTCTTCTTTGGTAAATTCAGTATGCAAAGTAGCAATCACTTGTAAAAAATATTAGAAATTAAAGTACCTTGGTGGATTTTATGAAAGTGCAGTCTTTAGCTTCAAAACAGAAGCATCTATTGCAGTCTAACAGAAATTATGGCTCACTTAATTTTTRAAAGACTACAGAACAGTGTAATAATTTAATTTTTTTCCCCATTACATTGCTCAGCAGCTGATCTTTTCCTTCAACAGGAACATTGTACCATTCTGCAGAATAATGTGCTGTTACTGGTCTMACTGGAAAAGATTTATTCAATTGACCAATTCTTAGAGAAAGATTTTTCAATGAGAATTGTGCAATTACTCATCTGATGCTGAGCAGCAGCATCTAACAAAGAGACAGAACTTGCAGAGCTGAGTCCACGCCCCAAAAGTTGCCCAATTCAGGATTGAAAAAGCGAGGCTGGTGTCTCAGCAKGGGCTGTTTTTGTGGCTGCTCTAACAGCCCATTCTGCTTTGTACCAGCAGCTGCTGGGGTYGCTTCCAGCAGAGCTCTTTGGAAAKGGTTTCAATGGAAGCTTTTCCAGATGTAGGTGTGAGCACGCCAAACGCTCTGCCTCTGCAATGCAAAAAGCAAACGGGAAGCTCACAGTGGGGCTTTAGCAGAGAGCAGCTTCAGTCAGCATCCAGCTCAAAGAACCTGCTCTGAAATACTGCAATGCATCCCCAGGGCTCAATTTGGAGAGTGGCAATAACAATGTGGTCAAGTATTCCTACTCTTCCTTCTCAAGTTTTTATATTTCCCTTCCCACTATACAAATTGTCTAATGATCTGTAAAGTTAGAATTATTTCAATTAAGGCTTCAGAAAAAAAAATATTTAATACCCATAATACACAAAAAACCCTGCTAATTCTGCACATTATATATAATTACTCTCTCACACAAGGACAGAATACATTGCTAGCTGTCCAATCCACCAAATTATTTACCATGCAATGAGATGGGATCTTATGGAATAAATAAATTCTGCAAAGTTGCAGCTTACCTAGCATTAAAGCATCTTTATAACRTTGGTAGTTCTCAGGTTATAGGAATTCTGAACTTTAGCCTTTGGCCTCTTCAAAGAAACAYAGGTATTTAGCAAAAAACTCGTGTCAAGGTATTACTTTACAATTACAGGGCTAGCTGTATTACTCAAAAGTAACACTAWTTTTCATTATATCTGTATATACTAGTGGACAATAGATGAGTCTGAATTTTTCTATCAGTTTACTCCAATGAGACTTTAAGAAATCTGCATCACAGAATTATACATTGTGTTACCTTCACTGCCAAATCTCATCTGGCACCCACAACAAAAAAAAAAAGGACTGACAGCAACTCAAGAAACCACTGACACACTCAGAGTGAGGTTTTAATTAGATCCCTTCTTGGCTGAGCATCTTCTTGCATCCTGTTAGAATCTCTATTYCTTTGCACTTCTCYGAGATATTTAGGCACAGGAGTCACACAAATGCCTGATGGAAAAGACAGATGAGTCAAACTGTTGGAAAGTTCCCTGGGCAGCAGCTCAGATTGCTCACTCGCTCCTCAGGCTTTTTCCTGCACTAAATGTCAGATGTGTCACCGATTTAGCAGCCACTGCCTGAAGAGATTTGGTTATGTGCCACCATTGCCAAAATCACTGCTTTTCTTGGTTAATTCCTCTGCTTAGGTGATAATAGCAAATAGTGGCAGAAATGGTCATAGAGCATCTCTGTRTTTTCATTACAGATCAAGTGTGTCATGAAAGAGAAAAATTAACTGTACAGTACATTGAGAGGTACCATTTGTATGTATATATATATACAGAGTCTTCCATTAAAGAGTTCAATGTGTGTAAAATGGTTTTCTTTGCTAGAAGARTGAAAGTAGAGCCTTACCTCGGTCAAATGCCAGGATCCAAGGGCAACTRTGATGCTGAAACCTCAGGGAATTTCACCTTCTGATTTGCTTTATCCTGTCTCTCCCACTACCTGTGGCACTCCAGAAGCACTGCTGGTCCACRTGTGCTGTTGCAATAAAGAATATGCCATGTTTTGCCATCATTTCTATTATCAGCCTGAAAGAGGTGAACCCTTGCYGAAATGAAAAATTAGGTTGATTCTTTGAACCAGAATTAACTSAGCCTGAGAGCAAGGCCTTTATGGGCATTGTCCTTTTCCTTGGACAGCGCAGCCTTAAAAACATCAGACAGGAAGAAAGAGAAACATCTGCGTTGATTTTCATTGTTTAATACTCAAGAGTGAAAAAGTGTAAAATCACAAAGCTTATACCACCACAATAAACGCAGTTTCATTGCAAATGACCAGAACACAAGCTGCCTGCAAAGTTTCACACAGCTGACATCAACAAAGCCAGGTTCAACATTCTTACCGTCTTTTGAAACACCTGCTATTCACAAACATCAGCCATCTCACACATCTTTCTTTATTTCTATGCTCTATTTGCTTCCTAGAGCAGTGGTTTGGACATTTGAAAAAACCAGTGCCCCATTTCYGATCTAGATCAGCATATAAACACATAGTTTGCATCTCTCTCCCCAAAATACTAATGAATATTTGAAAAGCATTTTGCTTAATCCAAGCTCAGCAGTAAAGTTTTTATTTCTATTTAATGAAAAGCGTAATGATATGAGTAAGCTTCAGAAGTGCATGCTAACTGAGGCTGTGTCACCAACCTGCTCAGCCACAGGATATAATTCTTCTGCAGAAAGTGATCACCARGGGTGAGTTAGTACACCAGGGAGTAAGTTATGTTTGCTCTCCTTAGTAATTTATGTASCTACAGCCCCGATTCTGCACATGCAGTCACTGGGACTGCAGGATGTGACTGTCCACCTAAATACACTTTGTTGTCTGAAGGTAAAATGATCTAAAAGGTATCACAGAATGTCTCAGGTTAATGAGAACTATGTGGAAAATAGGCTGCTTATATGAAAACTTTTTTAAAACTTAAACGCTTTTTATGTGAGGCAATGTTTTCACAGCCTTTATTCAAGCAAAGGAACTGTGCCTGAAAAGTTGAAATCTTTTTAACACCATGCTAATGCACATTTCCAGTTCTCTACAATAATCCAGCTTCCCAATAATTTATTAAAATCCTGCTCTTAAATAAATTACACTGAAAAAAATTTCCTCCAGACAGTCAAATCAGAAATTTATCTTGGCACAACCTTTGACATCTGACAGTGATGTGCAAATGAATTTCTAAAGAGCTGTTGTTGCCTCACTAAAAACAGTATTTGTTTGTTGCTTTTTTTTAATCCTTCAGTGCCAAAAGCACCTACATTTTATGAATCACTTGCTTCTCACTGGTTTATTCCTTCACCTGACATTATAATTCTCTCAGCAGGTGAAAATAAACAGAACAGTTTTGACATCACTGTTCCTAAGGAGCATGTTTGTCAAAGGTTCCACACTGTATCAATAAATGGGCTTGATGTTCTAAGTAGCTTTTTAGTAGTTGCTAAATATATTTTGTGCAGATATTCTTTAATCTGCTTTACAGAGAATGGTAAGTCTTGAACAAAATTTCAAGAAAACTTACGCTGCTTGTTTTTACCTCTGTTGCTTACTRCAGACCTGACTTCTTCCTTTATGCAGTTGTTGAATAGTTGAAGTACAGAATCTGATTACTGGCAGTAAGGCAACTAGCTGGAAAATTCTGGCTTATACATAACTATTAAACACAGAGACATTGTCACCTTTAAAAACATACAGTCAACTAAGGAAACAAAAGTATAGGATGAGATTAGAAGTATTACAATACGTACCATCCTATTTATAAATGGAAGCACAAGATCTTTTCTCAGCATATAGCAATAATTTTRAGAAAAAATGTTATCTATTACACAGTGAACAGTATAAATAAGCTTAGATTACATGCCTTTAGTGCTTCTGCACAACTCGGTTTCCTATTAATTTTCCAGCCATTGGTGGAACTTGCAATTTCAACAAATGATTTCATACAAAATGAGGAAAACATTCAGAAAATTTTGCAGCGYAGACAAACCTCATGAGTTAATCTTTGGAACATTAGTAGCTTCGTACAGTTTCAAACTTAGTCACTAAGGCACACAAGGATTAAACTGTCCCATTTGTGAAACAGCAGGATGTGTCAGTCAACACRGAGCTTCTCAGCTTTGCATTTACATTCATAGTAGAAAGCAGCAGTCAGATCTGAGAAATCTACTTCTGTTAATAGTAAGGAATCTGCAAAGTGACTAGTCATGCCAGACTRAGATAGTCTAACTGGATTCAAATCTGGATCAGCACACACAAGACTAGGCTTACATAACCACAGGAAAAAAACTGGGAGTCAGCACTCGCCACCCAAGTGTGTGTCTGCTCTGCAGAGGTGGGACACAGTGAGTGTTTGTGTTTGTGTGTGTGTGTGTTTGTGTGTGTGTGAAACAGCAGCTTCTCATCAATGTTTCTTACTTCCATACGTGGCCAGTATGGTATTTCTTACCACAGTGACAATATTTTGGCTGCTATTTTTGCCCCTGCCAGCACTGCCCAGGTCAGTCCAGCCAGTGGTGCTGTGCTGGCTTCCAAGCTGAACTTGTAAAGTCACTGAAATATAAATTTTAATTATGTCCTTCATTCAACCAATGTGCAATCCTAGTGAAATTAGCTTATTTAAGTAGAAGGCAACTTTGGCCTTAGGCACATATTGCATTCAGAGGAAAACAAAAAGGGAAAAAAATAAATTCAAATCTCAGCTTGGGTTTGCAGGGGGAGTGATTGAAAAGGACATCTTGTTTGTAAACAAAGGATTATCTGGGAATGAGCCGACACACAATGATCATAAAAGAGTCATCAATGTCATTTGTAAAAGTTTCCTTCTAACAGGACACTTCCTAGCTAATTTCCCTGTGTTAGGRAATTAGGCACTATGTAATCATGTTKGACACTTCACACTTACCTTTAGCAATACCTSGTATCCGGTAACCCATAAACTGCAAAGGAACTTGAGGTTACTAAAGTCCACAGCCACCGAGTCTGCAAGGAGTTCTCCTTACCTCAGTGGGAACACTATCCAGTCTACTTTTTATATTTCTTATCTTTTTGGAGATATTAAATATATTATACTCTCTAACCATAAAATTCACTATTTCTCACTTGGAATACTGTGAGAAATTCTTACCTCACTGTCATCTCTTTCYTTTTTGCACTGCATTCAAGCTATATAAATAATACCACTTTTGTCAATTTTTGCTATGCTTAGTTTGATCCTAAAGGATCATATTTAATTTTATAGCTGTAATAACTGTCTCTTATAATGTATTCATTAGSTATTGCATGTAAGTACACAGAAATGGAACTGAAAATCAGCTACTACCACTCTCTTATTAGTCTCATATTCTGTTACATTTGTAGTTAGTAGCTTGAGACTTAAATAAAATTGCATAGTAATATTGTAGTAACCAAGTACAATACAGTATTAAGAAAAAGAAAATTGAAGTGTCCTATTCAAGCACATATTTAATAGCTGATGTGCTATAAAACAAACAGGAAAAATAGAATCCTTTGAATTCCTCAGTAGCAAATTCCTGTTTCTATGTGTGAAAAAATCTGAAAATATTAGACACAGAACTCTGAGGAAAACATATTAATAGCATGAGCTCTCTCAAAAATAAAATTTCCAATAAAATAAAATGTGCTGAATAGAGGCTTAAATTCAATACTTCTCAGTCCACCATTAATAATCGAAACAGTTGGATTGTTTCCCCGTCCCTTTTTTTCTCTGTAAAAAAAAGGATAAAAAATACAGATAAACAAATGGCTACGTAGGCTTCATCACAGAGTCCTTTCAGAACCACTGTCCATCATTTTCGTTATCCTCATCCTCTTCCTCCTCGTGGTCCAGGTAGACAAAAGCGACTTTCTTCTCTTCAGAAGTGTCTGACCTTTGGTCGACCGTTCTTTGCAACTGCACAGTTTTATCAAAAAATGACTGTTCCACCACTTTTCCACCCTGATCTTGGGAAAAACCGGACAGAACGTATCCACTTCTTGTGCTTTCACTTTCTGCAAGCCGGTCGCTTTGGACGATGACCTGCGGCTGACCAGCGGAAGGCTCTTGCTTGTTGGACACCAGCATTGCCACTTGCTGCTCTCCACTCTTCACTGCAGATATTCCACCCAGATTGGAAACATCCATCTGGAAAGTGTAAGCTGTTTCTCTGGAGCCTACTTTGATGTGCTTCACAGAACTGCTGCTCTCAGACGAGCCTTCTGTTTGTGAAAGATCTTCCACCACTCCAGCAATRGGTCCTGTGAAGATTATTTCCTCAGTGTGAGTTCCTGCAGGACTTATTTTAACGTGCCTGAAAGCTCTCGAGTCTCCTGAAACCATCTGGTCTTCCAGTTCAGTGATTTCTGTGTGCCCAGAGCCRGGCCCCTGGTAGATGATCTCTTCAGCTGTCATAAAGCCCTGGGGACCCAGCTGGATTTGTCTGACTGAACTTTCTGCCTGTGAGAAATCCCTGGTGCTGCTGACCTCCACTTTTCCGGAGATGGGTCCCTCAAAGATAACGTGCTCAGTATGAACCTCTTTGGGGCCCAGCCTGAAGTGCCTCACTGATCTGCTGACATCCACAGCCCCTTCGGCCTGGGCAAGGCCATCTGTGCTGTTGAGAGTCACMGAGTCCGAGCCCAACCCCTCATAAGAGACATCTTCGGTCACCTGCCTTGATCCTACTGTGACACGTCTTGTGGCCCTGCTGAAGTCTGTTGAAACCTTCCGAGAAAAATTTTCAGAATCCACCTCTTCTACAACTGTAGTAATGGGGCCTGTATAAAACACTTGTTCTGTGGTTTGGATGTCCTGAGGGCCCAGTTTAAAATGCTTCACGGATTGGCTGAATTGTGACGCTCCCTCTCTCTGAACAACRTCTTCTGCAGCGCTGAGCTCCAGCGTTTCAGTGCCAGGCCCTTCATACAGGACCTTCTCAAACCTCTGGACTTCTGCTGGGCTGACCCTGACCCGCCTTTGGGACTGGGTCTCATCAGCTGATTGCGAGGAGTGAGAGGCTTCTCCATAATCGGCAGTTTCYGAAACCGAACCGTCATAAACAATTCTTTCAGTGGTGTGATAGCCAGTGCCACCGCTCCGCCTCGTTGTGGATGAGCTGTAGATTTCCTGSTCAGCAAAAGGAGTGTATTTATCACCATGGGAAGAAACATCAGCTCCTATTTTGCTCCTGTCYGAGCTCTCTTTCTGCAGGGAGTGTATTGTTGCTTTCTCCTTCTCACTTGTGATGACTTCCCCAAGCTGATCTGCATCAAGTTCATCAGTATTGAGGGTCTGTGACAGATTGACTTCAGCAACAATTGTCACCAAGCCCCCCTCCTCCTTCTGATCAACTTTTTTGATATCAAATGCCAAGTTACTAGCATCAACTTTGCTGTCTTTTGTTAATGCAGACAGCTCCTCTTTCACACTTTCTGGGAGACTGCCCTCCAGCTGCTCCAAAGCTTCCTTCARTTGATGTTTAGGGTCCTTCGTTTCCTTGGATAAAAGCCCTTTTATCGTCGTCTGAAATTCATGGGGAATTTTGATTTCTTTTTCAATAACAACAGATTCAACATGGGATCTTTCACCTTCAGGATGCTCTTTTAAAATATGGGCATTTGCTTCCTCCCCTACCACTTTGTAGGTTTCTTCAGGAGAGCTCACGCCTCCCTCTCTCTTACTTTGTGTGCCTTGCAAAAATTCATCTTGCCAAGAGTATTTAATGGTTGATTCTTCTTCAATATGAATTTGCCCATATATTGAGTCATCGTCTTTTTCATTAATAATAGCATGATCATCAGGAACAGATACAAAATATTTCTGTTCAATAGGTGAGTCATCTTCCTCAGTGACTTCTTCCACACGAGTGAAGCTCTCATGGCGCGGTTTCTTCTTTTTGACATCTTCGTACGGGAAGCTGATGTTTTGTTCCTCTTCACCGTAACGCTTCTCTCTCTCAGGGAATGAATCCTCCACTTCTTCTACTTCAAAAGGTGTTGAAAAATCAGTCCTTTCATCAGCGGTGTAATCCAGSGGCTCCTCTACAATCTCCACGTTCACAGACACGTTCTTTCCGCTCTCGCTTCCTTTCAGGCCATGGTGTACAATATCTTCTATCTCCTCTTTGGAAGGAGTTCCCTCAACGCCCTCTCGAATCACTTTTCTAACATCCTGCTTTGACAGATGTCCTAAGTCACTTTCATCAGAAATATCTATGGCTTCTTGCACTTGAGACTGCACTGTGAACTCGGTCTTGATTTTCCCTTCATCTTCTTGCTCTTTCTTATCRAAATAGGTCACTTTGGTGTCTGTGGACGACTGTGAACTGGAAGACTGCGTGAAACTTTTAAGAATGTCAGCAACAATATTCTCTGCTATGTTTTCAGTCGGCAGAGCTCCCATTTTATGAGTTCCATCCCTAATTTGCTCTTCACCTTCCAAACTTGACTTTGCTTCTGAAATCCTCACGTGGTGAGTTTCAGCAGACTGAGTTACATGGTCATCTCTTTCTCTTCCTATGGTAACTCCTTGTACCCTTATGTCTTTATTTCTCTGAAGTTCTTTGTCGGGAGCAGGCCTTTCAAGAGTGATTGGTACCTCAATGACTTCTTTACTTCTTGATTCCGAGGTCACATTTGCATCTTTTTTTGTTGGTTCACTTATCAAAGTTCTTGCAGCAGAAATATCACTCCCTGTTACCGTCTCACGGATATATCTTCTCTGCTCAGTCCTCCTTCCAAAATCGACACTTTCTTCTATAAAAGATTTCTCATCTGTTTTCTTTTTCTCATCTGCTGTTTGTTTCTCCAGCTTATCTTTTTCCTTCAGCAGAGATGTCTTCTCATCAGCTGGTTTGCTGTCTCCTCTTTTGTCTTTTAGTGTGGTCCGAGWTTCAATTATAGTTTCTTCATATTTAGATGAAGGTTTATCTTTTTCCTTCAGCAGAGATGTCTTCTCATCAGYTGGTTTGCTGTCTCCTCTTTTGTCTTTTAGTGTGGTCCGAGWTTCAATTATAGTTTCTTCATATTTAGATGMAGGTTTTGCATTRRTAATCAGCTCATAAGCTGGAAATCTAGTGAAGSCTGGTTTTGTTCTTGTATTTTCAGCATCAGGCTTGTGGTCCTTGTCTGATCTTTCAGTATGTGCTGATTCTTTTGAATAAGACACCGTGGATGAAGTTGTAACTTCTGTTTTCTTTCTCTCTGGAATCCTCTTTTGCTGCATTTCAGTGCTTCTCCAGCTGCTGTAGTCTGGAGTAAATGTTCTCAGCTCTTTGTGGTCTGTTACAATCCTCTCATCCTTTGTGACAGTTGTCGAAGGGCGATATGTTGAACCAAGTACATCCCTTCCAAAAGTTCTTCCCCCCGTTGTTGTGTGTGATCCAGCCTGCATGGAATGAGCTGAGTAACGTGCAGAACTGCTCATATTTGTCACTGGCATTCTGTGCCTYGTATCAGTGATCCTGGCAGCTGGTGAAGCTTTATTTCTATTTCTTTCTTGGTAAGTAGAGTAAATATCAGTGTAGTTATATAAAGTGTTTATGATATCTGCAAAGAGAGCACAGGTGACCAAGCATTAAAATAATGACTTGTATATAAAATAATATCAGAGAAAGGGCATGAACTAAGAAAATTTGTACTGTTTTTTGAAAGAAACAATCTCTTCATTTTCAGTGGAGCTTTGTAAAGGCATTCCTGTAGGTTTTACCTGTTAATTAAGTCTATGCAYAAATTACATTAAAACTGAAAGGAAAGCTATTTCCTAAGTTGCAAGATTTTGCTCGTTTTACCTTTTGTGAACTACTGGGTATAGTGGCATTACTTAAGAATTACCCTTTTCCAATTTATAGCTGATGTTCATTTACAACTTCTCATTAAATAATGTATGCTARTATCTCAGGCTGGGGTTTGTCCTTCACCAGCCTAAATGGCCTGAAGTTTCTCAGTTCCTGTTGACATTTAATGGCACACCTGCCACCWSAGACTAGAAACTRCAAACACAAACACAGCCCTTCACAGCCATACAAYAAAGCACAACAAGGGAGAGAAATAATGAACCTTTCAGGCTCCATCTATAGAATTAGTAAAATGTACCAGGAATGTCTGCCAGTAAGACCAACCAACACTGCATCACTTATATCTCCCATTCCTGAAAAGTCACATCTCCATGACTTTTGGAAGTGTTTCCTGTATTACTTCTGCAATTATCCTGCAAATCCTTCCATATTGCTTCCAGTGTGCCAGAGCATAAGTAGTGGCTAATCCAGACTCAAACTGTGCTGTCCAGATCCAGGCACAATGCTCATMATTTAACAGCACAGGCAGACCTGTGTGAGCATTTCAGCCCAGGCCTGAGCCTGTTGAATTTCCCGCTACAGACACAACCTTCAAACGTCTTCTGGGACTACAGGAATGACCACACATTGTTCAACTCACAAGAATTATCCAGACTAACTCTGTAATTAATAACAATGGCCACAGCAGTCACACTGAAGGTCCATCTCATCTAAAATCCTGTTTACAGGGACCAAGAGTAGATACACAGGGAAGAGTATAAGAACAGGGCAAGTAAATAGTGATACTTCCCTYGTATACTCTCACAGCCTCCAGAGATTTGCAGCTCCTAAGATAGAAATGGTATCTTTATGTTTAGTAAGTCTTTGATTTGTCCTTCATTACTCTGCTAAAATATCTCTTTAAACCCACGTGAACKTTTTAACACTCACAATGCCTCAGGATCACAACCTCCATGGTTTTAACTAAATGTTTTGTTAAACACCTCTTGCTTTATACTTCAAAACTCTCTTAAGACTTGTGGGCATCCAAAAGTTYTTTAGAGCTATGGAACATCACTCCCTACATTCTCCACTCAAGCCATGATTTTATAAGATATCTAATATAGAAAAGCAATGTTGATTTAAAATATTAACACTCAAAATGAATTCAATATTCACTTTGCAATACACTCATAAAAATATACTTCAGGAACACTATAATAATAATTTCCAGTTACATTTCATTTCATTCAAAATTAATTTTTCAATATYCATATTTTACCTTGAGGCAATTTCTCTGCATACTCTTCTCTCCATATAATCCATGGCTTGCTCTCCCCTTCTAACAAAGCTCTGCAAAATACAAAGGGCATTTCATTGAAATACTGGGAAGGATAAGCATAATATTTTACAAGTCTTAGAAATTGAAACAATTATCCTGCAGTTGACACATTTCACTAGACTAAGTTACTCCAAACCCCATCCAACCTGGCCTGGAACATTTCCAGGGATGGGGCAGCCACAGCCTCTCTGGGCAAGATGTTTTATCAAGAAAAGGCAAAAACAAAACAAAACAAAACAAAAAAATGTCAGCAGCCTTCTTGTTTGTAATGGAGTAGTAAAGGTGGTGTTGTTGCAGTGTGATTTTAGGGAACTGTTACAACTATGATTTTCAAGTTCTGTCCTTTTCAAATGAAAAATAAAGAAAGTGTAACTTCTACTGTGAAACACAGCACTGGAAGAAACAATTTACAGTGTCAAATTAACTATTTTTAGTTCCTATTCTATGGGAAATCAGCACAACACATTTCACAATAAAGGATCAGGAAATTGTGACAGAAACTGCAGAGTTTCTTTCAATGACACTTCAACATCTCCTGTACCTCCAGGAAGTGCCGGTGCAGCATCCTGGAAATGCAGTGTCGGGTTCTTTCCCTGAGCACAGGAACTGCAGTGGGTTTGTGGGCACCTCTGCCAGCCCCGTGTCAGCATTTCTGGCTCTGGCAGTGCCAGATGTTCTGCACTGATAAGACACAACTGCAACATCAAAGCTGCCAAGAGTAAGGCTGGAGTTCTGTGATAGCCAAGGCTTCTGACTGCCTGGGGCAGGAGCTGAAAGCCATCTACGACCARGGTATAAACACCTCTGCTGGACATTTATGTCAAAATTAACAAAGCACATGTTTTAAGCATCACCCGTGCATTTCACACTTCCCAAGGCTGATTGCCTTGGTATTTGCAAAATATCGTCAGCAAGGTTTTCCTTGCCATCATGGATTTGTCTAAATCCAGAGGAAAAGCCAGCTTAGAATTACCTAAAACCAACAGGCACCTTTCCTTCTATTTTGTTTGTTGAAAAACCTCACAGTAAAAGCAATTTATCTTTCTCCATGTTAAGAGAAACTTTAGAGGAATTAGATTCCCTCAACACATGTAACATTCCCAAGACCAAACATCTGATCTGATGAAGTTGCTGAGTGCCAAACAAACTGCTCTGACAGACATGGCAAAGAAGCTGATGGTGACACTGCAGAAACATCCAGGAGCTGGCAGTGAAAGTGTTAACCATGACCAAAGGAAGCAGGAATGTGGGAAGTTTGACTAAGGATTTCTGGCTGCTGTTAAAACAACTGTTGTTCAGTTGCTGCAGCAACGTGTGAAGTCACTAAAAATAAGTTCCAGGAGGTAACTGTATATGGCAAAGGGCAGCAGCCCACAGAAAAGCTGGACCTGAATTATTACTACTGGAAGTGAAAGGCAAAGCTTCCTGAAACCTCTGTAAAACTGGGCAGTGAATCAGTGTTTTACTGAATTCTGTATAATAGGTATGTTTTCAAGCTTATCAGAAAACCAAAAAAATGAGCTTGGCTTAATAAACTGGCATGGGAAAGGGCAGTGTAATGTACTGAGCCAGCAAACTCAGGTTGTGTTTCTCAGCTTGAGTTATTGCTTCTCTATTCCTCTGCATCCTTTCCCTTTGCTGCTGAGGTCTGCTTTCAAACTTAAACTGCCTGAAAAATTAATTCCAATGGTATAAACTTTTAAGTACTCATAGTAATAATAAAAAAGACATTCTTCCAAGCAGCACTCTTCTGCAAAAATAACCATGTCAGCTACTTCCTGGAAATCAGGTCCCAAATGACATTTGCTCACATTTTGTCAACACTTAAAGTGTTACCAGAAAATAACCSAACTGCACCGTTAGCTCATGTTATTATTAATGTCATTTATCTAAAGTTAGCAGGGACACACGCATCAGCTTGTGCTGGATGACAACAGAAACAACAGTCCATGAAAGCAGGAGGAAGAGATAGTGTGGTTAGGGTGGGGAGAGAGAACAAAAGGATGAAGTGCAAATGTTATTATGGCCGTTCATGACAGCAATGCTTCAACTACAAAACCCCAAAGCCTTGTTCTCAAAATAAAACCTGGTGATACTGATGGTACTAGTTATGAAGGAGAAATAATGAGACTGAATGAGAAAGCTGTGCTGAGTAGCTCAGAGGAAATCAATGCTGGTGATTATTTTGTGAGACAAAGGTATGGAAAGGGTCAGAAGTGTTGATGGAACAAAGTGGAAAGTTAACCTGGCAAGYGTGTTCAGAGATCCTAACAATGGCCATGGAAATAAAAAAGAAAAAAGTTGTGTAGCCTTCGGTGCTTAAGAGTGCAGGCTGGTAACCTGAACAGAACACTGGCCTGACACTGGAATTTCAAAGTGAAATATTTTACCCTTCAACAACAACATATTTTAAAGAGGATAGGAAACCTCCTGAACCTATTGAATAGACTCTGGGCAGCCTCTGCTGCATGAAGAGAAGTTTCTGCWAAGTAGAAAGACCTGAGAGTAATTCTGATTCTAGGCAGGCTTTCYATCTCCTTTTAAAACCAAGAGTTTTACAGCGTGACTAATTTACTACTTCTTTCTGGAAATAAAACTTAAGCATAGTCTAAGGACACAGAACAAAACTGAGAGACACTTGATAAATATTTACTTCAACAGTGGAGAAAAGGATTTAGGAATGAAGATTCCCAGGAGGTGTAACTTCACAAATTTCACTTCCTGAGTGAACCTCAGCTCCCAGAGCAGGAAGAGTGAGCAGAGTCAGAGAGGAAAWAMWCTTGGACCTTAAGGAAGGGTGTTCCTTGCMACAATGATCCTTCTTCCCACTCCAGGAGCAATGGTGACTAATGGAAAGAACTGACCTTACAACAGAACTGTAGGAGCTGAAAAAACTATGAGAAAACACAGGGTGGGTAGTACAAAAAAGGCTCCAAYACCAGCTACCACACCCTTAATCTAKAAGGCCAGGAGGAKTGGAAATGCTAGGGCCTTCATGGGAACCTCTCCATGGAAAGTTCAGGATGTTGGACCCATTGTGAATAGGTGCCTTTTGTTTCCAGTATGATAATCAAGGGGATATGTCAGCATGCTCTGTGAAAACAAACTGAAGCTGGGTTCACATGCCCTGTTTTTCACAGGTAAAAAGGCCTGGGAGGGGAACAGGATTTGAAAAAATATGTGAATGAGCTGCCCAGAATTCTCCTACACAACCTTACTGACTGGATCCCCTCTCATAGCACTGTTGACAGAGACACACCAGAAGGAAGGAACTGTTTTCTTGAATGGAGAAAAAGAAGAAAAGAGGAATAGGTAAAACTGCATAAATGTATAAAAACACCAAACAACCACTTTTCAGCTTCTGATATTTTAAAAGAATTGTTTGTTGGTATTAGCATGTTTTTTGACCTGCAGCAAGGCCCATTCTCTGTTTTCATCTATGGAGCATCTTCAATGGGCAAATGCTCATTTTTCCACTGACATCTGCATTGCCAAGGCCATCAGTGAAATACAAACTGCATTCACTACCATCAGATGAAAGTACCCTACAGATTAAAAAGCTTCTAAACTGGAAGAAAACACACTGCYAGGTGATGCTGAATTGTTCTCCTTTCATTAAAAAGGGCAGGGAACCCTCAGAAAAACCAATAATGCTCAGATAACTGGCGATACAACTCCAGAGAAGTTCCAGAATTTCATGGGCTTACAAGGTTTTCAAACTGAATATCTGGGCATTATCATTCCTAGTTCTGGATGAATACTAATCATCAAAACAACTCTGATAATTCTGTTATTGTCACAGTGCTAATCCTATTTCGCAGATGAATAAACCGAGGGAGAAAGTTTAACGACAACACTGAAAGTCAACAACAGCGTTGGGATTAAATTCAGAAGAATTGTACTTTTAGCAAAGTTAACAGAATTAACACAGAGAGATAAGGATCACAACTGGCTGCCACTTCCACAGTAATGCTCCAGACACTACTRGCTTTCCAAGGATCACAGGGATCCCACTCCACCAACAAACATCAAGGTTCTGCTTATCAAGTGACTGCAGATTACTTGTTCCACACACTGTGATTTCATCTCATCCAGAAATCAGCTTTGGTCTGTGCCTCCTTGCAGGAATTCTCAAGGCATCTTGAACAGGCTGCTGTTGCTCTTTCACATAGACAGACAATTTCTGCTCCCTAGTCTTTATCATGCTATTCTTTCAAATTCCACATATTTTCAGTTATGCAACTGAAATTCAATTTCATGTGTATCAGTGGATTGCTGTAGGCCACACACCTCACCCATAATTCAGCTGGTGCTATCTTTATCCAGACTTACTGGTTCACACTCAGGGCACAGCATAAATGCTTTAGGACACAGAAGCATATATCATATTTAACTGGAAATACYCTTGTCTATTTACACAAGTTAAATATGAATAATATACTCAATGCAGACAAGGTAATAACAGAGGCAACCTCCTTGAAAAAATACAGAGGAAGCCTGACATTGAATTTTTGCAAATTATCCCTTTTCTCAATAAGAATCAYGTATCTCTGTATTTGAAGATCAGTATCTCAACGAAATTTGTTGAAAATATTGTGCTACTCTTTACAATAAGGAAGGATCTTTCTCCAGTTCATTGGTTTTGGGTTGTTTAGGATWTTTTTTGCTCCAAATCAGTTTTATGTCATGTACATCATGATTCTCCAGACAGGAGAATGACTCAGGCTTTTCAACCCCACAGTTACTTAATGGCTAGAAAGATGGACAGTCCTGCAGATTCCTTAGTAGAGATGTTGTTTGCTGTTACCTCACATTTGTTCTAAACTTGTTTCTGTAACAGATCAAGGATGGAGGAAGCCAGGATTTATTCACACAYSTTTTTCTGTTATCTTCCCACTAYCCTACAACTGCAACAAGGATTGGGAAGTGGAAGTCACTGCTTACATCCATGCTGCAGGTGGTCACCAGTCAACACATTTAAACAATTAAATGTGCCATGGAAGTTGATGGCAATTACATGACCTCAAGTTTTATTGATTGCAATTCAGGGATATTGTCTCCTCAGCTTCTAATCAAATACTGCCCCAACAATTCCCATCAATTTGATATCCACTYGACCACGACTAAGAAGGTTTCTCACATACCACTATATTTGTACCAAGTTAATAGGATTCCTATGGATTATATTGGCTTTAGAGCCTTGAGACTCCCAAAGTCGCTGTCTATATTTTAAATGCTGGAAGGAGGATGAATGGGGCTCCTGTATCTATAAAAAGGGATTTAAATTATCCTCTGTCTAGACAATTGAGTGTGACCACAAATCTTACCTGTAGGTTTCAATCTCAAGGATGAGGCCTGCTTTCACCTGCAGGAGTTCTTGGTAGTCCCTCAGGTAATCCGTGATTGACATGGTCAGGAACTGCTTTTCTTCTTCCAGGGCGTCAATTATTCTCTGAACAGAAACAAATAATTTTTAGTTTTGGAAGAACATAAAAATCTGTACCCTTGAATGCCTTAAAACATAAAACTTTCATTTAAAAAAAACTGATAGAAAAATACATTAATGTTCCAYCACTTCATCAAACAGAAATCAACCCTATAACCTCCCCATATACAAGTTAAAATACATTSTTCCTGAAGCAAGTTTTATATCCATTTTATCCCTAAGTTAGTTAAATATTTCAGTAAAACTCATTCAGATGCCCTGTACAAAAGTTATTAAGCATTCATAGCAAAGAAAATACACTTCTTTGTAAATGTGACTTAAATTGATTTTGTCATTTTAAGAGCATAGATGGACATGCTTAAATCATATTTGAGACTTGAAATTTTAGCAATTGCTTTGCCATGAGGATCAGTATTTTCAGTTCCACAGACATGTGGGTCCAAATCAGTTCTGAAATTTGAGCATCTGAAGATATTCACAGTGCCCAGAAGGTGAAGGATGAACCTCCAGTGGTTCAACTTTCTACAGTATTTGCACATCTGCTTGAGATGCACCCAGCTCTGTTCTATCTGCTGCTCAGAAGATTGATGATTGACTCATTTTCATCTCAGTAGCTAAATATGAGCTTATACAACACAATCAAGTCTATAAGGTTATATATATTCACACTAAAAGGCATAAGAAAGAAAAGAACAGAGTAGAAAGTGCTTTAATCACTGATGTTAGCTCTCACATGAAGGACAAATTGACATTTATAGATACATTTGTACTAAATCTAACCTTGCTAACTAAGTGCTATAGACTGCACTTTGTTCTGGGGCTTGATAAGGCAGAAATTAAATCTCAACAAAGGCCCAACTCTRTTTTGTTCACTCCACTCTGCACGATGTAAGGACACTGAAATGTCATTTACAGAGCAAAATGTTRTACACAGGTAYRCTATTGAACAGGAATCCACAACAGCGTATTTTAGATTCCATCCTAACAGATGTTTTGCAATCAAACTGGAAAATCAATGTCCTGATGGTTTAGTTTTAAAAAATTCAGAATATATCACTTACGTGCAGCAAGTGCTCCAGTATCACAGTAGGAACAACAGCATAAAAATGAAGATACAGCGGGGGCCTCTGCTGTTAATGCCAGCACGGTGTGCTCGGGCAGAAGTAAGAGCTAAGAATATAAAGTGCTGGCTTGTCAAACATCAATACTTTTCAGGTTTTCTAAGTAAAACTAAAGAGAAAGCTCTATGAAGGAAGCTGCCTATATTTGCCTACACATGTGGGTACAGCTCTCTATAKAATACATTAATGTATTCCTTCATTTGCCTTTGCAGCTCTTGTCAAATGACTTCACTGATGTTTCCCTTGAATGGCAATCCTTGCCTACAGTCTTCAGTGTACTTAAAATTGCTTTTTTAAGGCAGAAGACAAATACAGCACCATGAACCCCCCAACAGCCTCCTGCAGACCCCAATGGAGGTACCATCCTATGGCCATGCAGACCTTTAGCAGCTCTGAGGTAACAATCCTGCTCCTGAACAGCACAGACACAATAGAAAATCCCAAGGGAAGAAGGGAAGAAAAGCAGAAAGCCCTGCTTTTAAAAGGAAAAGGCTATCCAGCAAGAATGGCCAGGTGCAACAGAACCAGGAGTCAGCAAAAGGTGAAGAAGAAAATCAATCCCTAAGAGCTGTGATATAAAAATTAAATGGTTCAGATGTTTCTTGCCTCCCCCGTTAAACACAGAATAACCTACACACGTGCATACATTTCTTAAAAAGAGCTTCACAAAGCTGCAGTCCCAGAAAAATCTGTACAGGAAAATTCWACACTGGGCTACAGAGTGTGGGGAGCTCTGAAAGGCTGGGGCTGTTCAAATCTAAAACCACAGGAGCTTCAGTCCCTCACCCCAAGTTCTCTAAAGTGGGTTTGAAAAGCCACCTAGATTCTACCCACAGGGTTTGGAGAGCGCTGGGATCCAAGAGTTTGAATCAATGATTACCATAAGGGGCCACATAACTCAGSCAGCTGTGCAGTATTCCCAAAGGAATCCATTCCAGCAGGAGCAGACACTCCATGGACCGCATGGCAGACAGCCAGCCCTCCATCACTGATGCTCAAACAGAAAACASAGGACAACTGGTCCCAAGTCCTGTCTCCAGGCACGCCAAAAAGCACATCAACAGATCCATCAAAGTTCAGGTGAATGCAAGCCAACAAAGCCATTTTGCAAAAGGTAACCTGTACTTGGCAAATGTSGTGTTTTCTTCACACAGGACTCTCTTGGAAAGATCTGTTTCCCAGCTACATCGATCACATGCCCCAAATCCCAGTGATGTCCTGCTAGGACGAAGYAACAGAATAGAAACTGTTTTCACACCCTCCCTACGTTCCTTTCCAGGCAGCACTGGGAAATTTTAGAAGGGCAGTAGGAGGGAAAGAATTCACTTGGGTTGTCCAAGCTGTACCTACTGAGGGAATAAAGAGAGGATTCCAGGCCCCAACCCTTTCCATCTGGTACTATTTACTGATCCCATAGCTMATTCAGTGGCTCAGCAGGGGAGGAGCTCACTGCACTTGGCTGGCTCAAAACTGGTACACAAAAAAAAGCCCACGACCTATCGACAGTAAATGTTCATTTGATTAGATGTCTTCTCTGGAGCTCACAGTACTCACAAAGGAACTGATCCTAAAYCCACTCTAACAGTGAAAAATATCTGCCTCCTTTCAGACCAGCAGGATGGGCCACGGATGGTTTTACATCCAAGTAACACAGGTTTTCAAATCACCAGAAGTTTTTGTACCAGTATTCTCTGGAATACTAAATTACTAAATACTAAAATTATGGAAGTCAGAGACCTATTGAGTTCATCCCTTTAGCACTCAGGACCAGTGAAAATTTCCCAGTGTATGATTTACTGCTCGCCTGGTTCAGCTCCATTATAACTCCAAATACTTATTTCTATTTAACATTGCTGAAAGCTTCAGTGAGGGTAAGGGCAGTTCAGGAGGCAAAGATGAACATATAAGGCAACTGGATGATATATGGAAAATATGAATAAATCTAATTACCACTGCAGCTGCAATGAACAATAATAACTTGACTTTAATCTGTACATACATATCATTTCTATGTGACACTCTACAATAAATAAGCCTTGAGCAGATGCTTTTTAAAGATTAGTTTAAAGCCCATGCTGAACATACTTCAACCAGTAAAAGAAATGAGTAAAAAAAAAAAGCTTTGATCACAAAAACAAAACCTGAAACAGCTGCTCCAATGCACTCTGTAATTTTTCCTTCTGGATAAGCACGAAAGATTTTAATTCTCATGTACAGGAGACTGGCAACTGGAAAAGGCCTTTCTTATTAAAACCCAAAAGTAYGAATTATTTCATTCAGAATTAATAAACCTTATGACATCTTTCAATATATATCCAGATAATATCTAATTTCTGGTGAAAATGGTCACACATTTTCAACACACTTTTTTCTTCTTCTTGTATTACTAAGATTTGAAACTATTTTTCCTGTAAAATCCAAAGATGCCAAATGTTCTTGAGACTAATAGTGAAGTCTGTAATTTTGGTATCAAAATAACAATCCATTTTRGAGCATTGCATTCAARGGCATCCATTGATTTTGGTTATCTGACTTCAACAACAGATTGCTGCTGTCCACAACAGGTTGCTCCACTTGCTCTTCTGAAAAATATTCTTTAAATATACTACCAAATACAGAAATAACTGGTTTAAAACACCTTGCTGACCTGCAAAAGATAAATAAAAGCCATTCTAAGTGGCTTTAGAAGAAAAACTTATKGCATGGATAACGAGTTACACAAAATGCTCTCTTTACTCCATGTTTAGAGGTTTTCAATTTGAGCAATGATGACTTTCATTATAAATCCCTAATAAAAATATAGACAGCAAGGAGACTGTATTTTGGAAATCAAAGAAACTTTAAATATTAGTGGCTTATGTATTTATATAAACTCATACACCTCAAAAAACAGGAAAAAAGTGAAGAGGTTTTCTTTCTTCTTTACATTTTCACTTRGCTTTGACTGTGGGATAGATTTAATTAATAAGAGTTACATACAACATCTTCTAAAGCTCTGGAAATGTTTACATGTATGACTGGAAGAATGAATTGTCCTGTCAAAAATGGGAAAAAAAAAATATTTAAGAGTGAAGAGCCTTTCTGATTCCTTCTTACATACCTAATCTGTCTCAGTTCACAGCATCTGCAAACTATGCAACTTCCAAACAATCCAGCAGAGTACAAAAACCAGACACACACASAGCAACAGGTCCCAGCCCCTTCCCAGTTGCCAACATCTCCATAATCTACCAGGGCTGCTGGACACAAAGCTGGACAAAGCCCACGGGGTTGGGGCACACACCGAGCTCCAGCAGAGTGTTAATAAAGGGTCTAACAATGAACAAAAGAAATATTGCCCTCAGGAAATGGATCGATGGGCTGCATGATCTAATATAATATGTGCTGTCCACTCGGAGCTGGATGAGCGGATACTCCGCTGTTCCGGCAGGAGCTGATCCCTTCCCACGCACAGGGGAATTGCACATTACACCAAACATCATCCTGACAGCAAACAAATCCTCAGCTGCAGATTCTGTAACCCGTTTGACAATGCCAACATCTACCTCCAACATCTTCTTGCCTTTAAACTAAGTTTTCTTAACTACGCAGAGGACCACAAGTTTCTTCCCGAGGCTCAAGGAACGCGTGTAAAACAGGACAAAATTTCAAATTATTTCTCTGACTGGGCAAGCCACTCAAGSCTCAGGCTGGACAGGATGAGCCGTGTCCCAGGAGCCCTGGCAAGCCCGTGTGCCAGCTCCACTCTTGGGCACTTGCCGAGGGCAGGTTGGGAAGRGAGCACCTGTCACCGGGATGATGTCCCCAGGGTCACCGTCTCCCTTCTGATCCACACCCTCCGCACTCAGCTCTCCCCAAACTCCCCCTCCGGGGGGCTCCAAGGCACTCCCCGCCCCACAGAGAAGGGCTCGGCAGCAAAAGGCTCCTGCTGGGCCACCTCCTCTTCCAGCCTGGAGAAAACCCACTGCCAGGGGACCAAGTGGGGTGGGCGAGCCCTGGACCACACCGAGTCAGAGGAGTTTGAGCAGAGAGAGGGGGAGGGACGGGGAAAACGGGCTCACACCGCGCGATGGACCAGAACYGAAAGGAAAATGCGGGTGGCAGAGGGAGACCCACGGGAGCCCCAAAACAGGCGCCGGGGGCGGAAAGGCAGCGGGAGAGTCCCGGGACCGGGGGAGTTGTGTCACCCACCTGGTACTCCTCCAGCTCGGCGCCGTGGCGGTCCTGCATGGCCAGCAGCTCCTGCTCCAGCCGCTCCCGCAGCGCGCACAGCTCCTGGCCCTGGCGATGGAGATCCTCCAGGTGCTGCCGGCACTGCCGGCTCTCCTCCCGCAGCAGCTCCAGGTTCTCCCGGCTCCGCTGCGCCTCCTGCTCCTGCAGCACCTGGATCTGCTCCTGGTAGCGCAGCAGGGTCTCCCGGCAGCTCTGGCTGAGCAGCATCTCGTAGGTCTCCTCCAGCTCCTCCAAGCTCAGCCCGGCCAAGGGGGGCGGCAAGGCGGCCAGGTTCAGCCGCAGCTCCCGCATCTCCACCGCCTCCCGCCGCTGCCGCTCCGCCATGTGCCCGTGCTCGGCCTGCAGCTCCAGCAGCAGCTCCTCCAGGGCCACGCACTCGCCCCGCAGCCGCTCCAGCAGCGCCTGCTGCCCGGCCAGCTCGGGCTCCAGRCGCCGCCGCATCCCCAGCACCTCCGCGCCCAGCGCCCGCAGCTCCTCCAGCTCCCGCCGCAGCCCGTCCCGCTCCAACTCCGCTTCCAGCTTTGCCCGCGTCAGCTCCTCCAGCTGCATCCGCAGCCAGGCCAGCTCCTGCTCGGGCACTCGGAGCCCGATCAGCTCCTGCTCCCGCAGCTCCGCCAGCTCCCGCGCCAGAAAGCGGTTCTCCTCCTCCAGCTCCCGCACGCGGGTCACGAAGACCCGCAGGCGGGAGTTGAGCTCCTGCAGCTCCCTCTTCTCGTCCCATCCCGGTTCCCAGCGGCGCCACATCTTGCCGGAGCCACGGGGTCGGGACACGGTGGCCCCGGGGCTGCGGGCGCTGCGCGGCTGCCGCGGGTGCTGCGGGGTGTGCGCGGCACCGGGACAGGCCCCGCCCACCAGCGCTGGCCCCGCCCCCGAGCGCGCGGCCCCG